TTTGGAACACAAATAATGTTGAAAAAATGGGTATTGACATTCAGCATAATAAAATATGGGCACAGTTATTATGCTTTATAATCCATTGTTTGTTGCTTATAAAATAATAATTGCACGGAATTGGAAAAATAACCAAGGGTTATTTTGGGAACTAATTAAAGAGCAAATAATGGTTCAGATAAAAATGGAAAGGGATTTAAGTATCCCCTTCCTGAATTACCCAAAAAGATATTTGTTCTGGCAGGGATGGTTGAATGAAATTCAGTAATGCTAAAAATGGTACAACAACCCCTGGGCATAGACATGAGCCCCCCCTCCTGCCTAACTCTGCAGATATATTCTGTATAGTAAAATCTTACTTGTATTCAAGTCTGCAGCTGCTGCCTCTGCCCCTGATCTGCCTGTTTGGCTGACATCATCAGAAGTGATTCTCTGAGCCAATCACAATGCTTTCCCTCTTTCAAGGAGGCAGATCCAGCACAAGCCAACCACAGCCAAACACAGCCCTCGCTGGGCAATAGGTGGCAGGGGGGCTAGATGGTGGTTTTAACACTATAGGGTCAGGAATACATGTTTGTGTTCCTGATCCTATAGCGTCCCTTTAAGAAGGTTAAGTTGCCACCTTAAAGACACAATGGCTACCACATTAAGACCCTGCCCAAAACAGGCTCTTAAAAACATGAGTGTGACAATCACCACTTTCTTTAATTTTTACTCACATATTCTTTTGCATTCCCCAAATTTGTGGGGTAAGTTATTACATTGTGCATTATATATGTTTTTGTTTTTTTTAATGATTCACACAATCATTGTGTTCACATAATTTTTTTTCAAAATTCACTTAATTTTGGGTGTGTATCTCCTAAACACTGAGTTGTAGTTTGTGTTAATAAAGTTTGTTGTGGGTGGTTGGGAGAGTGCCCACAGAGTGTTTTAAGCTGCGTATCACTTTCACAATTAACATACATTTATAAGCGCCTATTGTATCACAAATGTATTGCTTTTTTCTTTTACTATTCACAAGATGGCCTAAAGGTCCACATGGATGCTACTGGTATCTTGACTTCCCTTTATTAAAGCTACAACAAGGTTATATATGTACAGAGTACACCTTTACACCTAAAATCTGACTGACTCACTAACTGGTACCATCCAATAAATCTTACTATATGTCCATATACATTGCATTTGCTTTTAACTAGCTGGGTGCTAAAGATTGACAGCATCAATGGAAATTGATACTCTTGCCACATGTCTACTTGACTCACCTTTACATTATCTCCTTTCTGCACGGACAGCTCACGGCTGTTTCGGGCATCAAAATCATACAGAACTTGTAATGTGAGTGACTGATTGTACCTGGATTGAGGGAAAAATTGAGGTATTATAAAAATGTAAAGAACTGTGAGAAAGTAATATCTCCAAAGACCATAAGGGAAATTAAGTATTTTAAAAATAAATAAATAAATAAAAAAGTTTAATTTTAAAAGCAAATAAAACACAAATGTTAGTATAAAAATAATATACACAGGAGTTCACATCATAACCCAAAGAGGGAAGATGGGGAATTAAGTTTTTTTGTAATTACCTGTTGATTGGTGGAGTCTGAATGCCACTTTGGATCTGAAGTAACAGGTAAAATGTTATGATATACACAGACTGGAACTTTATAATTAGCATTTAGTTAAAAAGGTATTAAGAAAAATGCATGTGTTGACATAGGACCAATTTATAGAATTTCACACAATTTTTTTAATTACAATTTGTAATGAAATCAAATGAACACCAACATTCGATTCAGGGAACCTCTTTCGCTCCCCAACAGCCAATAGTTTTTCTACTACCTTACTCTATACCTAATACTTCAGATGCGATTTGCATCTTTTTTCTAGTACACAGTAGTGACCACACAGAACGCCCTTTACTAGCACAATACTAGGACTTGATGTTTGAGTTACCTTTTTGTTTATTTAGTTTTATACGCTGTTGTTACAATGTACTTGTTTTTATTTGGTTTATGCTTCCACGTATGCCATGCCCATACTAGCTTGCATTCACAATAAAACATTGTATTTGAAAAAAATAAAGGATGAAAAAAATGCAAAAAAAGAACAAAGTATATTCTTTAGTGTCATATAACCTAAAACTGATTTCGCCTCTCACATTAAACTTATTCATTTAAACATATCCCACATCCAAACTTAATCACAACCGTTCAGTGTGGGAATGAAGCAAAACACTGTCTTCTGTTAATTATGTACCAATAGCAATCCTGGAGTCATTAGAATGTTAAACTATATAAATTATTGAGTGCATGTATGCTGTTTCTCATACAGATATTTAAAGAGCCCATCCATTGCACTTTGAGGGTATGTGCTCCATCTAAAAGGAATGCACATACACACATGTATATGTAGAAAAACAACTCACCATTCCATTGTGTATACATACACTCATTAATGTTTTCTTTACTAAACCAATGTTTAAAGCAGCTTTGTCATAATTTGCGAAGACCCCCAACAGTGACATCGTTGGTGGGGATCCGGGGTCTATGGGGGGAAGGGAAAGTTAAGATTTACTTATCTGAGCAAATCACTCATGAGTGCCGCCATCTTCTTCCTGACGCTCTTCTTCAGCTTCTGGCGGTCCAGCTGCCAGGAGCCAATGTTAGTACTGTACTCTTAAGCATGCACAAGACAGTATTTCCCTTCTGCTGTCACTGGTGACCGGACAGGGAAATGGCAAGCTTGACAGTGGTACCTCTGCCTTTTTTGTCAAAAATATCATGCTTTATTTTATTACCTAAATCAGGTAACTGAAAAGAAGTTCTCTCATTGACATATATCAGTGTTAGTTTACCTGAGATATACTATCTAGCGGTCTACCCATTGTGTTTAATTGTCCTATGCTACCTACCTGTGGCTGTTCACTAAGGGAAGGAATTTCTGGGGGGATCCAACCATCAGAAAACGTGGGTATATATTGAGGGACCATTTTTGAATTTGGCCAGTCAGCTCTAAATGGAAGAGATGGGAAAAATGGTACAGATCATTCACTTATTTAGTTATAATACTATCAGTTTTTTCACTAAACTGAGAATGCCTGGGAATTCAAAGTGAATTTCAAATTGAAAGATAAAGTAGCCGAACAGAAAACATAGCTGATTGGGAAAATTTTTCCATTTCAGCTATTCTGACCATAAATTGGGATTCACTTTTAAATCCATGCAATTCTCACTTTAGTGTATAACCCTATTTGCTTTAAAAAATCATATTCCTCCTACCTTGTCCGCTTCCAAGCATCTCCCAGATCTTGCCAGAATCGTCTTTCCTTATCGGTGACACAAGAGCTCAGCAATGTCAAAGCCTTTTGGGTAAGAAGAGGCGACACCACAGTAGGAGCAACATTTTTTCGAGGACACTTAGACAAGACCTGAGACAAGGACACAACAATGAGTATAATGAAGAAGCTGTAAGAAACATTGTGGCAGCACATGTCCTCTGTCATCCTCACCAGTGGTAAGATAGTGAACATCGTGTGGACTAAGTCTGGTGCGGTTGGTTGTTGCATCTGGCTTTGAGCCTTACCCTGATAAAAAAAAAAAAAATCATTTATATGCAGTTTCATATAATAGCAAAAAAAGAACTGTATGAAATCACCATTATATTTAGTATCTTTACAGGAATTTCCACTACCAGACTACTCAGGCTGAAATTGGGTTATATCTATATATTATATAATATTATATATGCCAGTAGGAGAGCTGGACCAGTTCCTTATTTACTAGGTAACTCTGACTTCCTTCTAGGTGAGTACAGTTGGGTTCACCCCAGCTAAGGGTGACCATATCCACCATGCTTTCAGGGACACATATAATTTTGTCATATTCATGAAAACATATGAAAAGGGTTGCCCTGCAGTAAGTATAATGTATATCCTGCAGGATTCTTCATTTCCTAATTGCTTAATCATATACACCTTCTTCTAAATTTGCATACTACAGGTCAATCCTTTTCATATGCTGATCATCAATATGCATATGTGTCCATGAAAACATGGTGATTCTCATCACCCCAGTTTCCCCAATTGCCAGAGCGAGTTCCCTGAGTTAAGAAGTTTTGGGATTAATTCAGTGGGACAGAACATAACTCAGCAGCTAGGATTGTTTCTAGGGCAGTTGATTGAGTTCTTTAAAATTATTCTCATTTTATATATTTCTTTTTCATTCA